TTATAATTTTGAATTAAAATTTTAATGCAAGAATATATATATATATATATATATATATATATATATATATATATATATATGAACCATTGTGTAAAATACGAACAAAAATTGACATATATATGAACTTGGACTGCATAGCATTTATGAATACAATATGAACATAATAACAATAACTGCTACACGAAAGGAAATAAATAAAAAATAGGTGTGAACACAATATAAATAGCTCGTTAATAATAGTTCATTAATTATGAACACATTCAGAAGTTAACCAGTGTTGATATATGCAGCTAGTGTACATATGAACACAATATGAACACTTGTGAACAATAGTATCGTAGAAATAGTATGAACACAATATGAATGAGTGATGAACATGTACAAGCCACATAGTGAGAGAATATCGTAGAAATAGTACGAACACATAACATATATGCTATGAATACGTGGTGCAATTAAAGAGAAAAAATTATCAATACAAGATGAATTATAAAAAACACAACACATCGTAATGAACATAATTTCGATTAAAACCAATATAATAAAAATATTAATCTATTACCAAGACATTCGCTTTGGTTAATTTCTTTACTTCCCGAACTCGAAATCCGATTGTCATCATAAACCACTTTAATCTTCTCACTGTTGTTGATTTCTTTTCCATTGCGTTTATCCATATTAGCTTGCTCGATACTAAAAATTTAGTACAGTATTTCCTATGCGAATTAAAAACTCATAAAACAATGAACATGAAAGATCAAGATTTAAAAATAATATATATATATATATATATATATATATATATTATAAATGCATATTTTTTGGGATTTGATGATTTATAACTCCCCATTAATTGTTTGGGAGTTACATATCAAATCAATTTACTGAAATACTCTTATAATTAACTTGTGAACATGACATAAACCTACTAGAAGAATGAAATTTGATTGATTGACATGGTTTGCAAAGTTAACACAAAATTGTTGGTTAACATTTGATCTTCCCTCTATAATTGTATTATGAAATATTAAGCATAGAAACTCAAATTTCCCATATATAACTTCCATCACCCCATAAAACCAAACTCTGCAAAACTAGGATAAAATTGAGTCAAAAGATCCCGATTCAAGCAAACAAAAAAGAACGTGAGTTAGACGAAAAATTAAGCAACTTCGACAAAAAAAAAAACGAATTAACTTACTCAAATCTTTTTTGTCAATAACCTCATATCCATCAATCGAATATGAGTCTCTTTCCGTGTTAAACAACCATTCCACTACCCTCAATATTTGACCATTTAAACATTGATCGACTCATGGAGAGAAAAAGTATATGTATTTTAATAACATAACTTCTAATTTTACGTCTCTTTTTATTATACTTTAATTAAATTATACGATATAGATCATTGATTGACTTATTCAGTCATTTTATTCCATATTAACTATATATTTATGTCAATTATTTTGATTAAAATATATAAATATATATATATATATATATATATATATATATCTGATAAAACTTTTTATTGAAATTTATAACTGAGAAAATTAGCTAACTACAAAGGATGCCAATTAACTTCTTTTTAAATGCCTAATTTGATCATCGAAGTTTGAATTCAAAATCTAGGGCTGAACTCAAGACATGGATAGAAACTATCGAGTTAAAATCAGATAAAACTATTAAATATTAAAGATTTTTCTTATAAAAAATAAAATGAATTTTTTTTTTTGTCGTTTTTATTATAATCAAATACAAAAAATGGTTAACAACTTAGTTGTTTGTTTACATCTTAATAGTTTCATTAAGAGACAATATCTGAATCGTTAAGAGGTGAATCTTGTTTGGCAAAAAAAAGTCTACCTCTTAATGGTTCTAAAACAATGATTTTGTATCGTGGATCTCCCTTAACCAATTAAGATCCCTAATTTCATTATACACAATTACCAAACAATTATATTTTATTTTACACTATATCATGAGAGTCTCTTGATCATTCTGACAACTTAATCATCCTGCACTAAACCATTCAGTAATTGCCAAACAGCCTTAAATTCATATTATCATAAATGAATTTTTCTTACAATTTTTTTGAGGTTATTTTAATCTTTGATTGCTATTGAAAATCAAAAACAAAATTAAACTATAAAGTTTAGTAACTACTTTGTTTATTTTGCCTAAAAGAAACAAAAGGTTATTCTTGAAGGGGCATTTTGCAACTATAGTCAAAGTACAAGGGTGTGATCCAATTATATTGTTTGAAGATCCTACCCGGCAACTGCGGAGTCAAAGTCAAAGTAGATGTTGCAAATTGTAAGTTCAACCTTTTTATTCATGGAAAAAAATGGTGTGCTCATGGAATGTTCCGAACCTGGCTGGCGACTAGCTGGGAATTTTCTGCAAACAAAATCCACAGCAAAGTCATAATCCAATTATCTGAATTCAAGTTTCACTAGATTATCATTTGTTCATCTTCTTTGACCCCTTAATCTTGTAAGTTTGAAAAACGAAGAAACAGAGTGAAAAATGGAGAGCTTAATACCCACATGGCAAGTGACGCTTTTATGTGGGATTTTGATATGGATTGTTGTGTCTTCGATGTTCAATGTGACCCGGATTATTAGATCTTTAACCCAACCATGGGTATCGAGTTGTGTAATCTCTGGTACACCTATTATTCTTCAGATCCAGGTATGCGCACCATGTGTTTGATTATATGACAATAAGGCGTTTGACTTTTACAAGTACCCTTATCATTAGTCTCATCAATTTGTGACCTCTTTCATGTTTCTTTTTGCTGAATTATAAGTTTCTGCTTGAATTTTATGTGTGTATTTGGAGAAAGGCCGCATTCTACACTCACCCATGTCATTAATGTCATCAATTTGCTTCTTTTTTTTGGGTGCTGGATTGTTGATGGATTACATAAATATTTGTTGACTTTGTGCAGAAATACCAGCATTCATTTTTGGATGCGTTGTTTGCTGGGTTATCCTGTGTTGTTTCTGTCCCTTTTTATACTGGCTTTCTTCCCTTGCTATTCTGGGTAATTTCTCTTTTTCTTCTCTATGGAATTTTAGGGGTGGTTTGGCAACACATTATTTTGTAGAATTAATCCTTAAAATGATTCTGCCTAAACCTGAAAATGTAATTTCTAAGAGAAAGTTTTGTTTTCTCATCAAATGAACATTTGGGCAAATACTTCTAAATATTTCAGAAGCTAAAAAAAGGCGATTCCGACCGTTCTAAATGGATCACCAAACCATTCTTTACCTTCACACATCAGAAAAAAATCATATTTTATATTACAAGTAAAGACATTTTGGCTATGGGGGATGCAATTAAGTGGGTGATGATTTTATGTTGTAGAGTGGACATGGGAAATTGGCAAGGCAGATGACACTTTTGATGGCATTCTGTGATTATACAGGGAACTGCATAAAGGTATAATATCAGGTTCATCCTTGATTGTATTTTTAGGTGTACATTTTTTCATCCATAAATATTTGTCATATTGCTTATGTTTCTAGGATGTGGTGTCAGCTCCTAGACCCAAATCACCACCTGTGAGGATTCTGACTGTCACTGAAGATGAGAAAGAGAATGCCATGGAGTATGGATTGCCTTCTTCACATACTCTTAACACTGTATGCTTATCTGGGTATGTTCCGTGCTTTTCAACCTTTCCGTGTATATTGGTTTATATATGCTGAATTGATTACTACAAAAATCATGAATTCAACATAGCTGAGCCTTGATGCACCAAGGTCTCCTTAGGTCCTAAGCCAATTTCCTTAAGATTATTAATCACAAAAACTCTTGACTGTTATGATCCTTTTCATATCCTAGAACTTTATGGTGGTGCTTAAACCCTTAAAATCTGCAAATGTGACTATAACAAAACCAACCCAATCTTCCTAAGGGTGCGTTTGGTACCCGGAAGGTAGAGAGTGAGGTAAGCAAGTGAATTTTCTGGAAGGTTTTGAGGTTTTAATTTGACATGGTTGGTTTAGTAATTTACCAATCTTCCCGATTTTTCTTCCACCTATTTTGGTCGGACTAGAAAAAAATGTAGTTTTGTCCCACTGAGGTCATTTTTGTCCCAGTCTAATGTCATGCCAAACGTGGGACAATAAGTTTTTGTACTGACAGTACTGTCCTGTCCCCTCTTGTCCCTCCAACAAACGCACCCTAAATGTTGAACATTCATTGATTGTAATATATGGGATTCTAATCACGTTTGCTGTAAAAACATCATTCATTGATTTATGTTTTCTGGGATATTCAGGTATCTCTTGCATTATCTATCGTCCTGCAACGAGAAATCAGATGCATCCTTTCAGCTAGCAGCATTTGCACTTGTTTGCTTGTTTGTTTGTCTTATTGGATTGGGTAAGTTTCAAAATCATGTCTTATGGTCCCTTTTAGCTCCTATATAATCAATAACTGACCAATTTATCACTACCCCATCTCTCTCCAGGAAGAATATATCTTGGTATGCACAGCGTGGTTGATATCGTTAGTGGTCTTGTGCTTGGATTGGCAATACTTGCATTTTGGCTTTCTATTCATGATCACGTTGACAATTTTGTAGTTTCAGGACAAAATGGTACGGGTTCTTGTACTTAGCTTAAACGATTTTTTGATTTACTGCATATAACCATTGCCTTTCAAATGCCTGTAAAATTTGAATATAAATTTCATTTTAGAGATTCAAACCTGCTACTACCCAATAACTATTTTGATTATTAGTTTTTTAATCTCTAATTAATAGTTTAATGTAGTTACCAACGTATTCTACGCTTCTTAAAAATCCGGGCTTACTTTTAACTTAGTTGACGCTCAAAAGCCAAATGTGGGCTATTTTTTGCGACACAGCCGGTACCATGGAAGTTCCTATGGGTGTGTTTGGTATGTGGGAGGGACCGGACATGTCTTGTCAGAAGAGAGTGAGGTAGACAGGTGCAAGAATTGTAGAAGGTTTTAGGGTTTTTTTTTTAATTTAGGGCAAATTGCATGAAAAAGTAACGTACTTTAACTTGATTCCTATTTTGGGTAACGTACTTTCAAAACTTTCATTTTGGTACCTATTGATAGAGCAAATTGCATGAAAAAGTAACGTACTTTAACTTGATTCCTATTTTGGGTAACGTACTTTCAAAACTTTCATTTTGGTACCTAAGATATAAAGTTGTAAACATTTAAGTACCCAGGTAACCCGGAAAGACTAATTTTAGACTAAAAAAAGACTAATTTTAGATTTTAAAAAATCCACGTCACTGACCACGTCAGCAAATAATACTGAGTTTGATACCACATCACTCGCCATATCARCATGATAATCGGTTAATATTTCAACCAGTTACCCGGGTGCTTAAATGTTTAAAACTTTACATCTTAGGTACCAAAATGAAAGTTTTGAAAGTACGTTACCCAAAATAGGAATCAAGTTAAAGTATGTTACTTTTTCATGCAATTTGCTCTATCAATAGGTACCAAAATGAAAGTTTTGAAAGTACGTTACCCAAAATAGGAATCAAGTTAAAGTATGTTACTTTTTCATGCAATTTGCTCTGTCAATAGGTACCAAAATGAAAGTTTTGAAAGTATGTTACCCAAAATAGGAATCAAGTTAAAATACGTTACTTTTTCATGCAATTTGCCCTTTAATTTAACACGGGTAGTTTTAGTAATATACCAATCTTGTCACATCTTCCTGATTTTTGTTTCACTTATTTTGGTGGGACAGAATAAAAATGCATTTTTGTCCCACTAAGGTTCTATCCTGTCCCAATTCAAATTCAATGGCGCACCAAACATGAGGCAACAAGTTTTTGTCTTGTCCCGTCCTGTCTTGCGTACCAAACGCACCATCTAGGATTTGTCATTCTCAAAATGCTCAAGTTGCTTTAGTAATTTAGAACTAGTTATGTGTAGTTCTTACGTTGGACGCTTTTCTTTTCTTGCAGTTACATCCTTTTGGGCTGCACTTAGCCTCTTGATGCTATTTGCCTACCCGACACCCGAGTTTCCAACTCCAAGTTTTGAGTATCACACAGCGTTCACCGGCGTGGCATTGGGAATTGTAAGAATATAACTCTATTAATAACCTGCAACCCCTTCTAAGAAAATTGCAACACTTCTATTTTTGGGAAGTTCATGACTCATAGTTGCCTAGTTGCTCATTGTCATCGTTACAAAATCAATTATATTGTTCGTGGTTTACAAGAACAAATGTATTTCATCGTTATTAAAGGGTATTTTAGACCTCTTCCAAGAAGCTAAATCAACCATCATATGTTGCAATTTTCATGGAACGAAAGACAACATTTTCATACCGTACCAAAAACTAATCTATATACATCATTTTAGGTGACCGGCGTCCAACAAACATACGAGCACTTCCACCACGAACAAGTAGCACGCGTGTTCACCCCTCGGCTCCTAATGGCTGCCTTTGCCGGTAGGATCCTTATTGGCATTCCGACCATATTGGTTGTCAAATTCTGCAGCAAGGCTCTTGCAAAATGGATTCTACCCATTACCGCAAATGCATTAGGCATCTCGATAAGATCTTCCGGGTACGTCCCGGCTTTGAGCGGCTCGTCAACGGTCAAAAAGTCAAATGGGTATCTTCAGAAAATGTTTTTTTTCAGTAATCAGGATTCATTGGATGTGGATACAGGTATAAGGTTGCTTCAATATGCTGGTCTTGCTTGGTCTGTAGTAGATCTTGTTCCTTCAATCTTTTCTAAACTCAATTTGTGATGTATATATAGAATGTGCAGCCCTTGTTTCCAGATTAGCTTTTGCTATCACCATAATAAATTTATGGAACTGACGAAAATGCCCATGGACCAGGAAGGGTCACCTTTCTTTTCCCTCTTTAAACCAGAGGGCACTTTCGTCAATCTATTATTTTAGTTTGGATCTGGTTAAAGTTGATCTGCATATGGGGTTGCTATAAAATGTATTGTATTAGACTACAACATAATTCTTTACTTTTTTAAGTTTTTGATGGGATAACAGTAGTTGATATATAGAGACTCTAATTGGATCTTGTTGTACAAAATTAATATTTTACCACTTTTTTTAGGGTTAGTTTGTTTATCTCTTAATAGTTTTATTATGAAGGCAACATCAGAATGCGGTGAATCATGTTTGACCAAAAAAAGTCTGTCTCTTAATGGTTCTAAAACTCTCTGAATGATTTTGTATCCAGGTTATTTCTTAATCATTCATCACCCTAATTTATTGTAAACAATTACCAGACAATCATATTTCATTTTATACTATATCATGAGAGACTTTTAATCATTCCGACTACTTAGGGATTGTTTGGCAGTTGTTGAATGGTCATGTGAACCAGAGATAACGTGTATTATGACAAGTCAATTAAGTTGTTGAATGGTCATGTGAACCAGAGATAACGTGTATTATGACAAGTCAATTAACTATCATTTTAATCAAAGTTACTTTATTTTATTGAGGCATCTCATGATCATTAAAATTGATTCACATTTCATCCTTAATTTATTAATGTATAGTTTTTGGTAAAATTGATGAATTTGTCATTTTAGTTTACCAAATGCTTATCGGATAAGCTCTTACCCGCATGATCATCACTCTCACTTGCCTTATGGAGTAACATTCCTTGCCATCAAAATGGATAACCCGACAAACATTTATAACCCGGTAAACGCTTACCGGGTAAGAGTCATCACTCTCACTTAATGGAAAGATTCTCGATTCTTGTTTTCCCTCTTATTGGGTAAGACTCTCGTTCCTTGTTATGTTCACCGATAAGGTAATATAGCCGGTAAACACTTACCAAGATAAATGTTTAGTAAACGGCCCCTTAGTTATTTATTTTGGGAAAATATCAATTACATAATTATATTTCATTTTGTGGTTTTGAAAAATAATATTTTTTGGTTTACAGTTTTAAAATTATAAAAGGCTACTGTGGTTTATAAAGACGTCCAAGCAACCGTTAAAAAATTCAAGTAAATAAAGAGCCTTTTCGTTTTTTTATCGATATCTTTTGTCTTTTATTCAATCGAGATCGATTTCATAATTCTGGTTGTTGTGGTTTTTGATTATGTAAAAATAAAAAAATGGATTAAAGGATGAAACTGGCCATTTAAAAGAGAGGCCAAATCCAAAAGTTTTTACAAGTTATAATTACCATCTTGTAATTATAAAACTGTAAAAGTAAAAAGTGTTATTTTCAACAAACTACAGGGACCAAATTTGTAGTTTACTCAAATAATTTATTTATTTATTTTTTTTTATTTGTAAAAAGTGTTAATTAACTTCATTGTTTGGGAATGATAATAATAAATATGAAAATATATTTAATTTCTTTTAAAAAAAAGTATTTTACACGTGTTTTAAACGGCTGTCCGTGTAAATATTTTAATGTATAAATTAATATTTAAAATTGTTAGTTGGTATTATAAGATCCATAATTGAGTCTCTTGTGACCATTTAACAAAACGTTGGTCAACTAAACATAAATTTAAAGGCTTTTTAAGTATATTTTTCTTCATGGTAAAGCAAACATTCTGGTTATTTATATACATTTATAAAATAAAATAAAAATATTGCTTATATAGGATTTTATACTTTTGCATTTAACTGATATTAAAATGGATCAAGACTTATTTGAAACCGATCTGATTCATTTCGAAAAAACCATATTAATCTACAAATTAATAAAGCTTGAGATTTTTTTAATATATGTCTTATAAATTCAATATATACATATACATATATATATATATGTGTGTGTGTAAGTTCAAACGAGAACATCTTCATTTTATAAGAACGCGAAAGTATCTTTATCACATGTGATAATAGACTTAAGGGGACTTGGTGGTGTATGGATGTCGTGCCTTGCGACTTAGGTCACACCAAAGGTCGTCTGCGTCTATGATTTAGTGTCACATGTGATGGTCTTGATGAATTATAGTATCACATTAATAACACATTTATCACATGTGATGAGACGTAGTGGTGTAAGGGCGACCGGCCTACAACCTAGATCGTGTCAAAAGTCATTAACGTATCTGATTTGGTATCACATGTGTATCATATGTATTGGAATATCACATGTAATTGTTTATGGTAAAAAGGTATTCTTGCGTTATTGTAAAATAAAAGTGTTATCGTTTGAACTTTTTCCCTCTCTCTCTATATGTATAATATTGTTAGGACCCCAAAACATATAAAAGAACTCTTTACCAATTGTATCTCTGTTGAAATTCTTAAAACACCTTTATCAAGATTGCCATCTCACTATATATTACCATTTATTTTTGGAAAAAATTGTATTAAAATGGAACAAACTTTATATTGATTCCTATTTTAAAGAACCAACTTTTAAATTATTATTTAAAGTTCTCAAACAAACTTTTCATTTATTCAAGGGACTGGTTGATCTAATGACCTGCTAATAATGACATGATCTAAATAAATATCAGCTAATATTTCATGTTATTTTTAAAATTATAAAAATAAATCTAAAAATATCACATGACACCAATAATTATGGCATGTCACTCGCTTCTCATATTTGATAATTAAAATATTATATCAAAACTAATAAATAATCATTTAATTATCATTTAATTCTTATATAATTTAAATTAAATTAAAAAGTAACAGACTCAAAATTCATATTAATAAAATGTTTTTAAGGTAATACTAGAAGGGTACTGGTGCAATGCAGTGAGATATATCTTGATTTTAATATTTCATTTTATTCTTTATCTCAATCGGTGTTATAGTATGGTCTTATGTAATTTTGAAAAAGCGATACTGCTTTTATTTTTGAATAAAATATAAATTTGAGAATATCATAAAATTTTGACAAAATATATCGATATTAGTATCAGATTAACTATTTAAAATTCATATTTTTTGTGTAATTTTTTAATTCAATTTTTTTATTATAATTTAATTTAGATTTAATAACGAAGTAATTTATATTTGGTTTAATAATATCATTTTCTTACAAAGATGATAATTAATTGTTTTGTTAGAACTCGATAATTATCTTAATTATATATTTTAGATTTTTTATATTTTAAAATGAGATGTTTATCATCTAATTGGTTATGTTTATCCGCAGTTAGTTACACAAATTCAAACATAGAGCTTTAATAAGTTGTACTTATGCATAATTTACCTGTAATCTTGAATTTTAAGTAATATGCATCAATATACAATACTTCATGCATAAAAATGGTTTTTAAGAATTTTTGTCAAATGCTTTATAACATAATATAGATAAAATTATTAGTCATATATTTCAAAAGCAAAATTAGAAAAATAACAAAAATCAAAAACTATACAAAACAACCCAATTGAAATAAGAAAAAGTGGAGCATTTAGGATTACTTATTTAAAGTGTTTATTAAGTTATTTCGATATAGTATCAGTAATAAATAATGTTTAGTGTTTTGATAGAAGAAAAAATAAATACTTTATACTGGTTTGGCACCAGTAATAAACAGTTTTTAATAAGTAACTCACTCTAACTTATTAACTTATTCCTATGTGGTACCTGTAATGAGGAGTTTATAGTGTTTAGCTGAAAAAAAGAAATATTTATCAGCTTATTATGTTTTGGTACCGTCATGTTATGTTCTGAAAGTTGGTTCCTAAAATAAGAATCAGGTCAAAGTTTTTTCCATTTTGATTCTTTTCTAATTAGTTGTACCATATTTTTACACTAAAAATTTATAAAATTTCAATTATATTTTTACAACCCATCCCTAACTCTATCACTAGTGATTACGATGTTTTAGACTTTTAGAGTATCAACAACACACAAGTCTAAGAAATGAATAGTTTTGACGACAAATGGGAAAAAAAGGTTTTCATAACAGTTGAAAATTGTTGAAACAATTTTCACTGCAAATTCTGTGATACAGATCCAATGTGTTATTTGGACGAGGGTTTTTTCTCTTTGATGATGGACACTGCTCATTCAACGAACCCATAATTACGTGGGATCAACCGAAGTTTCGTATGCTCCAAAGCTCTTCTTCTCGGATTTCGAAGGCTTGTGTAATTATGCCATCCGAGCAAGCAATTTCCGACCTATTGTTTCAAGTTAACTAATCAAACAAAATTGATCTTGCAGGACCGATAGAAGTTAGATAAAACAACCGATATTCATTTAAATCTATAATATTAAGGGGCCGTTTACCAGACACTTATCCGGTAAGCACTTACTGGTAAAATTCAATATTATTATTTACTTACCGGGTAAAATTTTAGTCAACAAAAACGGCTTTCTATGCAACAATTTACCCGGTAAGAGCGGACCGTGGTAAGAGTCATTGCCCTCACTTACCGGGTAAGACTCTCAGTCATTGTCTCGTTCTTACCATGTAAGATTTTTTGTTCTTACCATATTCATCGGGTAAGGTAATATAACTTGGTAAACTATTACTGAAGTAAGCATTTGGTAAACGACCCCTAACTCGTCTTTTTCAAGTTAAAGTCGATTTTATAGGGACCAAATTAAACAAACCGAGTATAATTTATTTAAAAAAAAAAGTTATATAGATGACAGAATCGTCATTTAACCTTAAAAAAATAGACATCTAATTCAAATGTATGTGGAAATAAGCTCAAGCACCTTAATTATAAAAAAGAAAGGCTACAATTTTTTGAAGTATTTTTTGAAATATTTTATATATTTTAATAATTTATGCTTAATGTTTTAGACGTGGTACAACGAGTGAATTACATTGGTGATTCATGTGGTTTGCTTAAATTTTGGGTTTGATCTCTAAAACAAATTATATATATGGGTAGTCCTTAAGTTTTAATTTGATGACATAAATGGTCCCTTACTTTTGATTTTGATAACACACATGGTCTCTTCAATTAACAATGTTAGTTAGCAACCATTATGATGGACTCATTGGTCTTTGAACAAACTACAGGGACCGAAAATGCATATAGTAATTCATGTTTTTTTTTTTAATTTTTATTAAAAAGTATTTTATGTATCCAATCACAAATCAAATATCTTAAATAAAAATCTTTATACTTATTTAAAAACACTGGTGGTTTGCTTAAATTTTGTATTATGATGGACTCATTGGTCTTTGAACAAAAATCTTTATACTTGTTAAGTGAAGAGACCATGAATGTTATGAAAATAAAAAGTTAGAGACTACCAGTGTAGATAGTTTGTTTTAAATCCAAAATTTAAGCAAACCACAAGGACCATAAGTGTAATTCACTATTTAAAAGATTAAAAGTTTTCAAAAACAAAAACCTAAATGTTGCATAATGTACTACTTGCACAATAAAAGGCAATACTTCTCTAGTTCGTATGTCTTGATTTTATTTTATGAATTTGTGTGGTTTTTAAGGAATGAAAGGGTTTTTGTTAGTTATTAGGTTTATAAAGTATTATGTTGTATTAGTAGGTTCAACATTTATACTGTATTTGACCATGTTTATCAGTTGATTATAAATTAGTGTTGTTCAACCATTTGATTTAAAGAAATATACATTTGATGAAACACTTAGTAATGTCTTAGGGACTTTGTCCAAAATCTAATTTACAATTTAATGATCAGACTTTATGTAATCCATGTTTTAAATCAGATGGGATCCAAATTATCAAAATGTATTGAGATCCGTAGATCCGAAATAATATAAGGATTCGATGTTATTTGATCTGAAATATATATTGTTTCGTATAAAAAAAATATATACTTTAATAAGATTTTTATTGTAAAAGTCTTATGAATATATTAAGTATTATTCTCAAGTAGAATGCTTTTAGTGAAATACCAATATCGACAAAAAGCGAATTGGATTGTCATATAGGCCATTGAAGACCAATACTGAGTAAGTCAAAACAGCTTGACAAATACTGTTTTGACTCACCAACTTCTACCAACTCAGTTCTAAAATAGTATTTCAGTAGTATCATGCTTCATTTACTGTTTCCTCTACATACAAAAAAATGGGTTGGGTAACAAACGTCTATATTATATTTTAAAAATATTTAAGAGCATCTCTATCATATTTCTCAAAAATGGATGAAAACAGAATTTTTGCACATTTTTGGCATGTTTTGTTTACTCCAATAGATTATCGAAAACCTTTATAAAAAATTGAGAAAGTAGGAGAGAGGTGTAAAAATGTACAAAGTTGGTGAACGCCCCAAAAAGATTACAATAAAAAAGAAAAATAATATTTAATACATTTCCACTAAAAGAAAATTTTGAAAATAAATATCAGAGAGATAAATAATATTTTATTAGATGAAAGAATTTTAATAATAAAGTGAATTAAACTGGTGGTCCCAGTGGTTTGCTTAAATTTTGAATTTGGTCTCTAAAACAAACTATCTATACTAGTGGTCCATAACATTTTATTTTCAGTCAAAGACCTTCCAGCCTAGTGGTAAATGTTTGGGCATGACATAGTCATGAACCCGAGTTCGAGTCCTGTGGATGGGAGTGTTGGCGACATTTAAGTGGGGCCATGTTTAGCTTCCAAATTTGCCGAGGATTAGTCGGACTTTGGCCCGGACACCCTTACAAAAAAAAAAAAACATTTTATTTTCATAACACCCATGATCCATCCACTTCACAACAGTAGTTAACAACCATTACGAAAGACTAATCGGTCTTTAAACAAACTATAAGAATCAAAAATGTAATTTGCTCTAAAATTTAATGTGATTCACGTTTTCTTTTTACCTTTTCATTAAAAAAATATTTTATAATCCAATCACAAATCAAATATTTTAAAATGAAGTACATATTAAATAAAAATCTTTATATTTATATAAAAACTATTAAATTCACAAAAAGAAAATTAGTGCTAAAAAAATCTCAAGTTTAGAAAATAAAGGAAATCAAGATAAATTCGTATATATTTTGAGTTGAAAATTGAACTATGCGAGAAAAATATTGAAAATTAAGTTTGTTAATATGAGATTATTAATATTTAGTCAAAGTACAAATAATTAAATTCATAACAAAATGAAAATTATAAATTAAGATTAAAAAACACTGATTATTTAAACAATTAGAAAAAATTATCACTAAAACAAAATTAGGTTTATATGACGCAAAAAAAAAAGCGTTCTAATCCATTTTATAAGACTTAATTTATAGAACCAAAAAAATAAAATATTCTATTTAAAGGCGTTGCAATAAGTTTATAAGATGCTTTTGGGCATCCTAACAAGTTTTTAAGATAATTATAATACAAAACGTCACATTAACAATTTTATATGACACTTTTAAAAAGGTTTCTATAAAAACAAACGTCCTATAAGAAGAATGTTTTTGGGACACTTGATTTTTTTGGCGTCATATAAACCTAGTTTTGTTGTAGTGGTATTTTTCTTAATTGTTTGAATAATCATTGTTTTTATAATCTTAATTTATAATTTTTATTTTGTTGTTATTTTAATCATTTGTAGTTTGACTGTATATTAATAATTTCATGTTAACCAAACTTAATTTTCAATATTTTGCGCATATTTCAATTCCAACCCAAAATATATGTGAATTTATCTTGATTTCCTTTTTTTTTTTAAAACTGAGATTTTTTAACGCTATTTTTTTTGTGAATTTGATAGTTTCTAAATAAGTATAAAGATTTTTTATTCAATATGTATTTTAAGAAACCTGATTTGTGATTAGATATATAAAATACATTTTTAATAATAAAAAAAAACGCATTAAATTTTAGAGCGGATTACACTTTTGGTCCCTATAATTTGTTCAAAAACTGGTTAGTCATTGATAACGGTGTTAATTAACATGTTAAGTGGAGGGACCATGAGTGTTATGAAAATGAAAAGTTAGAGACCATCAGTGTAAATAGTTTGTTTTAAGTACCAAATTCAAAATTTGAGCAAACCAAAGGGATCACCAGTGTAATTCATTACTAATAATATAAATCAGTGTTGTAACATCCAAAATAGAGAATCTGTTGGATTAAATGTATTTTTGTTTTAGAAATTTTGACGTTTCATTCTCCGTTTTTATTTTTTTGGAGTCTCGGTAGATGAGACTAATACGAAGAGTACAAACATGCAATGATCAAAAAATCAAATGAAGACAAATGTAGAATTTAACAAACAACATTTAACACATTGATGACTATGACATTTGACAATGTTACAATTCACCTGTTTGGCAACAATCTTAAACAAATAATGTCAACATTTGACAACATACATACTTAAACAATGATATATCAACATGAGTATCGATTTAAAGAGAGTATGATACCAGTTTCTTTGACATAATTTATTTTAATTATAAAAATTTAATTACATTCAAGATTTTGTGTATATTTTTAATAAATACACATAATATTTCATTTTTTTATTCAATATTTTTTTAAAAAGTTAAATCAAGTTGTTGAAAATTTGTAATATTATTTCCAAATATAAAATTGATGAATCAAATTAATAATAAAATATTTAGGAATTTTGACACAATTAATTTATTTCTAAAAAATAGAATATCATAAAAATAAATATCAACTTTAACCACAAGGATCTGTCTGATTGGCTTGAGTTTGACTCCAAAGTTAAAATTACCAGTAGGTCTCAGATTCAAATTCAAGAAGTAATAAAAATCCCTATGTAGCCACGAAAGTTCAAATGCAGTGACTCCGCGACTATTTGCAAAGTAAATGATCGTTTTGAGATTAGTCGGCTCGTATAACGGATTGAATATCCAGGTTAATAATAATAAAAAAAACTTAAAATAATTCAATTTCTAGCATAAAGATTTTTTTCAAGAAAAGAAAAGAAATTGTTTTTGCTTAGTTTCAAAATCTAATCGCACGACAGCATCTCTTAATCCTATATTTTCGATTCATTGTCCCAATTCTCTCTCTATCTCAAATATAGGCCCTTCCCCCTTTATTAGGGTTTCTGATTCCTCCTACAATTCTGCATTCTCTCCCTCCGCCATTGATACATTCTTTCCAAGAGAATTCCTTTATCCCAGGTTCTTCTTTCCTCTTTCCCTTTGTGGGTTTTTGATTATTTATCTCTCATGTTTATATGTATCGGTGTTGTTTTTATGTATATCTGTCTTTGGAGCGAATCATTCTGCATAATGCTCGCTCTCATTGCACCTAAACTCCCTCTTTCTGTAAATTTTCTGTATTTTGCTTTTCATATCCGCGGTTTCTAATTATCTGTATTCGTTTGAATCCGTCTTTGTTGATAGGTATACCACTTGATTTCATCCAGATTTTCGAATTTCGTTTTATCTCATTTGTTTTAGTATTTTTTAGCAACTTTTTGATAGTATAATATATGAATATTGTTTAGATTTGTTGGTTGATTTATGCGATTCTGCATGATATGATGTTCTTCTAAATGCAATTTTCTTTACATTTAGCTAACTCGAGCTGATATGACGTATCTTGCTACAATGTTGATGTTTTTTTTTGTTTCAATGTGCTCAGGAATTGATCTGTGTGTTAAAGGTTGCAGCCTTTTGAACGTCTGGTGTCAAAAGCAACCTGCAAGCAACTATTTTGGTATTTATTGGTTTGGGTTAAGAGAATTGCCTTCTGATTTTTGGTTTTTGGGATATTAATTTCCGGTAAGGTTGAGGATTATCTTTGTATATCATGAGAACTTCGTGGGCTGATGCTGTGGATAATGCAGCTTCAGGCTCTGACGGTTATGGGGTTGGTGGGACTTCAGGGGATTCCCATAGACCTGCATATGTTCCACCTCATCTTCGTAACAGGCCACCCACTCCCGACCCAATGGTTGGCCAGGCGACATCAAATAATGGGCCGCCACCCATTAATGATAGGTTAGGATACAGTGGTCAGACAAGTGGGTCAAGGTGGGCTGGTCCCAGGTCTGAGTATGGTAGACCAGGATATGGTAGCGGCGGCGGTCGTGGTGGTCGAGGTGGTTGGGGAAATAGAGGTGGTAGTTGGGGTGGTAGAGAATTGGAGGCCAATCCATTTGGTAATGATGATGTTGATGATCCTGCAGAAATTGCATCAGAGCAAGAAAATAGTGGTATTAATTTTGATGCTTATGAAGATATTCCTGTGGAGACCAGTGGGGTTAACGTACCACCTCCAGTTAATACATTTGCAGAAATAGACTTAGGGGAAGCTCTAAATCTTAACATTAGGAGGTGCAAATATTTCCGCCCAACCCCTGTTCAACGGTACACGATTCCCATTTCTCTGGCAGGACGAGATCTGATGGCTTGTGCTCAGACTGGCTCAGGGAAGACAGCTGCCTTTTGCTTTCCCATAATCAGTGGGATTATGAGGGGCCCATCTGTACAAAGACCACCTTGTTTTAGGACAGTCTTTCCCCTTGCTCTCATTCTATCTCCTACAAGGGAGCTCTCTTGTCAGGTTTGATTCATGGCCAAGTATTTTTGAAGTATAATATTTATATACGGAAAATACCCACGGACACTCCTCACCTTTGGTGAGGTTTGAACCGTTGACCTCCTGGGAGGTCGGGCTCAGCCGGTAATCAGTGTACGGTTCAGCCAACAACACTTTGGTATTAATGGCTATTTCATAGAGGGGTTTTAAGAGTATTGGCATTTTACTTATTCAATGTCTCTGTATGTTTTAACTATGTGCAGATACATGTGGAAGCTCGAAAGTTTGCTTACCAGACTGGTGTCAAGGTGGTAGTTGTTTATGGAGGAGCACCGATTAATCAACAGGTAAATATGACTCGAGGGTAAATATTTGCGTCTATATTTGTGTGATAAATGGTTATCTGTTCGTTGATTCTATTGCCTTCTATTTATGCCTTTTGTATTATAGACGATATAATCTTTAGTAGGGGCATGTTAAATGAGAACCATATTTTGAGGATATGAGAACCAACTATTCATGATGAATGTCGCGATAGATATTTATCATGAAACTTATTCATGCATATTTGGGCAGGGTACTTTTTCTAATTTCTTAAGAAAAATGCATGATATCATGAATAATGAAAATACATGATATTCATGAATATTAATGGTTATTCATCATGAATAATACATTAAATAGTTGGTTCCCTGATTCTCAAAATATTTATGGTTCTCATATGAACTTTCTCATCTTTAGTAATACATCCATTAAAGTAAGCTTGCTCCTGTCAAAAGAAGAGAACTGGATAAAAAAACAGAATAATACTTTAAAATCATCAACCATAAGTGAAGACCATTTTCTTGCAATCTAAATCATGCCCCACATCCAACAATCTGCCGTTGCTTGAATTTTGGTTTTGTATATGTTTAAACATTTGCTCAATTCTGGTTTTCCATCTGCTCTATTTCTATCATTCATCGCCTTTGGTGTAACTGATGGCATCTGATGCATGGGCAGTTACGAGAGCTTGAGAGAGGAGTTGATATTCTTGTGGCGACTCCTGGAAGATTAGTTGATTTGCTGGAGAGAGCAAAAGTTTCATTGCAAATGATAAGGTATTTAGCTCTTGATGAGGCAGATCGGATGTTGGATATGGGATTTGAGCCTCAAATAAGGAAGATAGTGGAACAAACGGACATGCCGCCACCCGGTGGAAGACAAACAATGTTGTTTAGTGCTACATTTCCTAGAGAAATCCAGGTTAGTTGGTTCCCCTTAATTTGAATTGTCTCGTATACACACACAAACACATTTTCTGTAAGAGTGCGTTTAGTATGCAGACAGAACCTGATGGATTTAGACTGTAAAAGACAGGATAGGCGAGAGTGAGGTTGGCGGGTGAAAGAATTTTGAAAGGTTTTAGGGTTTTAATTTGACATGGTAGTTTAGTAATTTATCAATCTTGTCCCATCTTTTTGGTTTTTGTTCTACCTATTTTGGTGGGACAGAAAAAGAAATGCATTTTTGTTCCCATAAAGGTCATGCTAAACGTGGTACAACAAGTTTTTGTACTGTCCCGTCCTGTCCAATGTACCAAACGTGCCTAAGATAACAAGATGAATATACTTGAGTGTGTAAAGCTTTTCAATCTAAATCCATGTATGAAAACCAAGAAGCAAACACACCAAATGATTTATCAAATACCGAGTTATTTCTTGGAAGATTTGGCTAACCACCCTGTGCTGTTCTTGAACAAGATTGTTTTAAAGCAACTCTTGCACCCACAAGCATGAAACGTTTCAAACCTTCTGGTTGGTAGAAGCATTCAAAGCTTTCATCAACTTCATGTTGAAATTTTTGCTCATTTTCTTGCATCAGAATTAACAATTCATTGTATCGTCATCGCATATGTTACTCCAATACTTGTTGAATATGACCACATTCTGATTGCTTATTTCCCTGATAATAATATGGTATGTTCTGTCGCATTATAATTTGTTTTGGGTAATGTTTTTTTTTAATGAATTCTGCAGAGACTGGCATCTGATTTTCTTTCAAATTACATATTTCTGACTGTCGGTCGTGTTGGTTCAAGTACTGATTTGATTGTCCAAAGGGTGGAATTTGTTCAAGAAACTGATAAGAGAAGCCATCTTATGGACCTTCTCCATGCACAAATGGATAATGGATCTGGCAAGGTATGACTGTACACTTTTTATGCATTCAGATCTCCATACGACGATTATATAGATGATTACAATTGCTTGTAATGTAGGGGCAGGTCCAAATGAGAAACGTAAATATTTTTGAGAACCTAGGGAACACTTGCTTTACGAATAACCCTAAAATATTCATTAATATTGTTCACCTCAGTATCTATCACAATATTCATCATGAATAATTGCTTTTTAGGTTCTCAAAATATTTATGGATCTCATTTGAACCGGCCCCTTGTAATGTAATCTTTGCTGTAGCATAAACGTTAGCATCAGATTGATGTTTGTTTTGATACTTATTTGCAGCAACCTCTTACACTCGTGTTTGTTGAGACAAAGAAGGGAGCCGATTCACTTGAATATTGGCTATGTGGTAACGGGTTTCCAGCTACTACTATTCATGGTGACAGAACACAGCCGGTAATTTTGAATTTTCGTTTTCACATTTTGTCCAAGATTGCTCATTCTTGCAAGCTTACTAACCATTGAGCCCAAACCGTACCAATATCTTAACCTTGCTCGGATAATCAACCTTGTTTTGTGCTTGTGAAGCTTTCTGACAAACAAGCTCGTAAGTTGTCACAAGCTGGCTTGGCTTGGCTATGTTTAGCCAACCTTGAGCTTATTAAAAAAAGCGGTTTGGTTTGCCATCAACTAACTTATCGGAATGCTACTTGAAATAGCGTTTCAATAAGCTACAGGAGCTTTTTTCCACTTTGTTCCAATTATGCCCTTAGTGCATTACCTAAATGACCAAAAACTTTCTTAAAAAAACCAAAGTATCTTCTATTCATTTTTATCGACTTGCTATTATTATTTATTAGAATTATTATTACAATAATTGGAATTATATTATTATTATTATTATTCTATTAAAACATAACAATTAATTACTTATCTTAATCTGATGAAGTGTATTAGTGATTTGTTTTAATTATATTATGTAATGTTAGAATTGAGTAATTTCTAATATGTTCTTTTGGTCATTTCCCATTTGTCAGCTATCTTTAACAACTAGTTTTTACCAAACGTGAGTAGTTTTCTGGCTGGTTTTTCAGTCGAGAGCTAACTTATCAGCTAGTTTGCAAAACGTAGCCCAAGTAGAATATTGCTCGTCTTCTGATTTTGTTGGTGAATTGGCTGCAGGAAAGGGAGCTAGCTTTGCGATCGTTTAAGAGTGGAAAGACGCCAATTCTGGTTGCAACAGATGTGGCAGCTCGTGGTCTTGATATCCCACATGTTTCTCACGTGGTCAACTTCGACCTCCCAAATGACATTGACGACTACGTCCACCGGATAGGACGGACAGGACGAGCTGGCAAGACGGGATTAGCCACAGCCTTCTTTAACGAGAACAATATGTCGCTAGCAAAACCGCTAGCAGATTTGATGCAAGAAGCTAATCAAGAAGTACCACAGTGGCTCACTCGTTATGCCAGCCGGGCGGCTTATGGTGGTGGTGGTGGCAAGAACAGACGCTCAGGAGGACGTTTTGGTGGCCGTGACTTCCGAAAGGAAAGCTCCTTCAACAGGGGTGGCAATGGAGGCGGCATGGATTACTACGGTGGTGGTGGTGGTGGTGGATATAGCGGGTATGGTGGTGGAGGGTATGGTGGGGCTGGAGCACCCAGTGCCTGGGATTAGTCTTTTTTTTTTCTCCAACTATGTAACCTTTTTCTCAGGGATTAAGAATTATGGTGTGGAAATTTTGTTCAGTTGACAGATGATTATATCATTCTCTCTCTCTCAACAATCAAAACCAAATACTCCCAACAAACAATGGCTTAATCTAAAGCCATGCTTTATTAACTTGTACATTATGTAGTATAAATCATAATCTAGCTCTAAGTTTTGCCATTTTTACCCTTTTAGAACCAAAACAAACCGAGCGTATATGGGACAGTATCTAATTGATGTGTAACTGATAATGTCTAGCTGATGTGGCACTCTAAGAGGTATGTAAGCCAATATTTAACTTATGTAGAGTTGAGGATGTTTGGTCGATGTGAGACTTCGAGAGGATGTTAAATGTTGCCTTGAAAACCGTTGTGAAAGAATGTGTTGAGTACCTTGGTGGGCGCCAAATGCCAACTTTGATACCGTGTTTCATTTTTCTTACGTCCTTCCATCTTATTGTGATCGACTTTTATGAATATTTTTTTGAAACGATATACAGTTGAGTAGAAACAAAAGCTCTAAAATTAAACCACGACCCTTAAGTTTAATTTTAGAGCGTATATGTATGTTTTTAATCATCAAAAATAGAATTAAAGAAAAGAAATACAAATAATTCTCGAAAATCAATTTCTTCAAGTATTTCTAAACACAAAATATGAATAATAATATCTACATCAATATTATCTAACAATATATGACCAAGAGGTTGTTTACCTCTTAATAGTTCCATTAAGAGCCAACCTCTAAATCGTTAAGAGGTGAATCTTGTTTGACAAAAGATAGTCTGTCTCTTAATAGTTCTAAAATCTTCTGAATGATTTTGTATCCTGGATCTTCCTTAACCATTAAAAGCCCTAATTTCATTGTATACAATTACCAAATAATTATATTTCATTTTGCAATATATCATGAGAGTCTCTTAATCATTCTGACCACTTAATCATTCTGCACCAAACCATTTAGCAATTGCCAAACATCCCCCAAGTATGGGGTTAAAGGACTTAACAAATCCTTTGACCTTGTGGTACTTGTGGTATATGTTGCAATTTGAATACATTTTTTGGAGATGCAAAAAAGTTCCACAAATTTAGTTTTGAGGCCACAAACCCAACACCGAATTTCCGTTTGGTTTCGATTTATTATGTGTATTTGGGGTTTTGAACAACACAAAGGTTCAAAAAAAAAAAAAAAAAAACCAAATAAAGTAATGAACTTTATTCAACGATAATCAAGTATGTGACGCTAACCAACAACTACTGTGGAAAACAAATAAGATCACAAGCACAATGCTCAATCAACTAAAGAACTTTGAAAATGCACAAAACACAAAGATTTACGTGGTTCCAAGACGGTATGGTGACGTACATCCACAGGGAAGAGGATGAGCTTTTATTGATAAAGAATACCTGAACATCTAAGAGAAATTACAAACCGAACACTAAATTGTGTATAATTCATCTCAATATTTTCTATACTCAAACTAGGGCTTCTAAGCTCTCAATTTAGTTCTCTATACCATGGTGGATCTCAAGGGGTTATTTATACTAATTCATAGGTGGAATCCCAGCTTGATCCGAATACTAAGGGGGCATTTGGTTCGTCGGAATCTATTGAATCTGATGGAATTGAAATGGTCAATTCCGTTGACCAATGTCCTTGTGCATCACTATAGCTTATTGCTTGCTCTTGTTAATATTGTTTCATGTATGCCTCTGACATCTAATATAGTTATTGTAAGGCTATTGCAGATTTCACCAATTCCCGACTCTACTGATATATTACATGGAAGGGGTATGTTGCATGGCTTACTTCAATTTAACTTTATCTTTGGACGCATTTAGTATACAACGAAAAAGATACCCCGAACATGGCCAAATATATAGTATGTGTTTTGGTATTGGTGTGTTGTTGGAATTTATGTTTTTATCACGTCGTTCATTTAAAGCCGTTGTGAGAGGAGATCTTTTAGTTACTTTGAGTCTGAGATCCATCTATTGGCATATTACTCACACACCAACGGCCAACACATGCATCTGGAACAGGGTTTTAACTAAATAAAAAGCACTAAATGTCCATATGGATTTAAAAAGCACTGTCCATATGTAATTTAGCTAAATAACCCATATGCAAGTGTTTGACTATCTGCTGAATGCTCTAAATGTCCTTGAATATATGCAAAATAAAGGGATATTGTCGACCTCATTCAAGTTATCTGAGTAAGTTAGACAGATGTGCCGCTAGCTAGCTTAGATGTAATCCTAATAGTTGTTATAGGATTAACTAGCTAAACAACCTTCACATAATTCATGTAAGGGATCCTCTCTACCCCAAGGGATATTATAGAGGCTGTTTCCATGAAGACCCTAACTTGCAGAACAAAGAGAGAAATCATGTGAGTAAGATATAAGTGAGAGTGTGCAAACAAGCAATCAGACAATGTTCACTTATATCACTGAGATGGTTAAACCGATAATTAATAGAGTAGTTTAACAACATCAAGATTAATTTGTAACACCAACTGACCAACTTCTCTAACCTGTTATGAAATCTCTGTAAGTTTGCCAGGTTACTTGGGTACACAAAAGAAGCCATCAAATCGCTCACACAAGCAGTTGACGTATTATGCATCATTCATGGAACAACTAGTCAGTTCATGAAGGACCCTGTCATTAAATGGAAGACACACGAGTAGAAGCTTCATTCGAACTCTCATCTACAGATGCTTAGACTGATTATGCTGAGGGATTAACATCATTCAGTAACATCCATCTGGATTTGCTATTTTAGGTACTTGTTTCTATAAACTTTAGAAGTTTGTTCTATGAAGCTAGCAGTAAATTTTACATTTTGCCATTGTTGCCTGTAAATTGTTTTTTTTTTTGTTTACTACTTAACACATTGTGGCCTCCAAGACATTAATCAACACAAAATTGTTGTCGATTGTAAACGCAAGATCAAGTATCTCATGATCGTAGACGTAGTTGTTGAAACTATGAGTGTGAAGTACTCTTTCGCATTGTCTGATGCGAGTACCTTCACTTTGGAATGTAATTGAATTTTTAAACCATGTATTAGAAACTTTCAAAACATATGTCCAACCTCTGACTTTTCTTTCATAAAGAAATACCCAATAAACCCGAGTATCATCAACCACAAATGATGCAAATCACCATGTGCTAGAAATATTTTTTTAATTCGTGAAGACCCTTCCGATCATCGTCAACTAAATAAAATAAAGTTGCAGGTTTATAAAGTATAAAAGAATAAATAAACCTGGTATGATTTGTCGATTGACATATTTGATAATGATCGAGAAGATGTAAGATAGGTCTCAAATTGTTTTAAAAGATAGATAAAACTAGGATGGTCTGATAGATATTTTAATAGAATTGGGTTCCAGTGAGAAAGAAAGTTAAGGTGAGAAGCGTAAGAAGAGATCTTCACTTTTAGATACACATTAGGACGAGATGTACCAGATTAAATCCCCGTATCAAGCACGATTCATGAGTAAGTTTGAGATTAAAGGTGATTAAGAGTCCAGATTTCTTCTTACACTTCTTTTTTTTAACTCTTATTCTCATATGATGCTTTGCTTATTATAATGAAATATAAGTGGATAGAAAAACTTTTGTGGTTGAAGGGGAAACACATGACTATATTTATTTATTGGCAACTTGGACTAACCAGTCACCGATAAATATATAAAAAAACTTAATAATTTTACCAACCCTATTGACTATTTTTTAATTTTTTAAATAAAATATATTCATAAAAAATTTCAACCTATTTAAAAATAAAAAAAACAAAAAAAACAACCGTTATGGTTTTTATAAGACTGATAAACAACTCATAAATTTAGACCCGACGTGTCTTCATCTTTTGAAAACAGTTAAGATATACCAAAAATTAATTATAAAAAGTATGGTTTTTGTAGTATTAAGAAACAACTCGTAAATTTATACTCGGCATGTCTTTACTTTTTGGAAACGATCGGTGACATCTTCATTCTTAATATTATCATGTGCTGCTTTTTTATTGGACAAATGAGGGTTTTTTTGGTTGATGAACCAATTCCAGATGAAACTTTTTGTTTCAATTTTTTTCCGTATCCATACTAAGTAGTGAAGCAATGAACTGTAATATGTAAATGAAAGTTCGAATAAAGATCAACAACTTTTCAGAATGCTAAATATGTAAACGCCAATAAGTAATCAATAATATAATGGCTAAGGTGCCGTTTACCAAACGCTTACCCTGGTAAGCGGTTACCAAGTCACTTTACTTTACTAGATCATATGGCAAGGACTAAAAATCTTATCTGGTAAGAGCAAAAGCAATAATCGAGAGTCTTACTCGGTAAGTGATGACGATGACTCTTACCGTGGTTAGCGCTTACCGGGATAAGTTGTTGCATACGATGCCTTTTAGTGAATAAAATCTTACCCAGTAAGTAAGCGACAGTGTCGAATTTTACCGGTAAGTGCTTACCGGATAAATGTTTAGGTAAACGACCCCTAAATAAATATGTAAATCAACTAATAGCTAATCTGATCAAACTGAGCCATCTACTTTTTTCGTTTCTCGTCGAGTTGATTGAGCCATTGAGAGTTTTTGATTTCTAAAATTGAATTTGTATCAAAGACATATTTGTTTGATCTGGAATTTGGGCAAGGCCGTAAGGACTAAGGTTTGTTTAAGGGTAAGGGTCCGTTTGATTTACAGGAATAGAGTGGATTTGGATTTCAAATTCATTCTAATCCTTATTTGATTTGCAGGATTGTATGGATCTGAAATCCCTCAAACATAGAATTGTGAAATCCCATGGGAATGGTTGAGATTTCACATGATTTCGTAGGATTTCTATATAATAATGTTTTAAAATATGTTTAAAACACTTGTCTATAATAATTCATTAATAAAATATATTTTTATTAATTTTTGTTAATTATTCATAAAAATAAAATTTCATTCTATTCCAAATTCATCACACCAAATACACCAAATATTCCAAATTATTTTAAATCCAAATCCTTTCATAAAATTCAAATCTGTCAAAACCAATCCATTAAATCAAA